TGGACTTGAGCGATTGGAATGAAAAAAGATCACTCCTAAAATGTTTTTGCAACACAGCTCGCCTTTCTAGACTGTTTCTCTAAAAACATTATTTACTTGTTTACTCAATCTATTCATCTTGAGTAAAAGTTACTTACCAATACGTTCACTTCAATGTCCATTTTGAAATTTCTGTTTCCCAATACTACACAAAATCCTAAGACTTCATTCGCCTTTTTAAGCTCCTGACAAGAGAGAGGAACGGGCAATGTCAAGGATTTAAACTCATTTATAGTACGTATATTATTTTGGATTGTGGTGTTACCAGGGTTACAGTAAGGAATTTGGCGATAACAAGTTACCATGGGTAACGCGCACGTGTACTCAACCTTCACCCTTACGGACCACTCTAAATTAAAAAACAGTTCTTACCTAGGATACACTCCATTGACTTCCCTGTCACTGTTCAGATGGCCACTAGGTTGCGGTTATAGGTGTCGCTTAAGTGATACATGTTTCTGTCAGACTCAAAAGGGTGTCATATAGGCTCATACAGAACTTCACGGTAATTGGCAATTCTGGCCTCTAGGCTGTGGGTGTTCTGCTGGATTTCTAAGGTAAAAAGAGGAGGATAAACTCAACAACGATAACAGTAGGGCCATTTATACGACGAAAAATAAGACGCGTCTTACATAAACAGCACATTTCGACGCGTCTTACATAAACAGCACATTTCGTCTAAAATAAGACGGGGCTTAGCTAAGACGCGTCTTACTAGATAAGACATGCTCGTATAAATGGTACAGTTCGCATCTTATTTAAGACGCGTCTTATGTAAGACGCGCCTCATTTTTCCTCGTAGAAATGGCCCTAATGACTGCTTACTGACAGAAATAACTAAGGACAGTGATAATGATGACGACGAGAGGGCATTCACGTAAACATGTGTGACAGCAGGGAGCTTACGAAATGATGACAGTTTAAGTAGCGCAGGATTGAAACATCGGGTTACTGTGCGGTCTTCTGTGCGAAAGGTCCCGAGTTCGGTTTCCAGTTGTTAAAACAAATCCTTGTTTCGACGTAAAAAGAGAGATGAGAAGAATGAGGTAAAATGAGTCCAACGTCGAGAGAAGATAACGAGCTTCCAAGGTACTTGTACCCTTTTTTTCAAAAAGAAAGGTTTAACGAATCAAAGAGACATTTGTCAGTATTCTTGGCTTGCAAACACGTGACAAGGCGGTCATAGTGGACGACAAAAGTAAGGTGTGAGGAAAATTATATTTCGATTTCCAGAAATTTCTGTCGAATCATAAAGGAAACGTTTCGGTCCAAGGAGAAATTTTCCACAAAAAGTGGCCCACCCCTGTCTGGTCTCACTGAAGCATGTAATTGTTAACATTCATCACCAGGATTTGAAATTCACCACTCAAGAGAAACTCCAATATGGCCGCCGTGCAGTGATTGTCAACAGTAGCCACGTTCAATATCTTAAAATTCTAACTTGACCCCACGGCTTTAGGGACAAAATTGCAACTTTTTCACGACTACATTGTCTCGCAATGCCCAGAAGAGACTTGAGCACAGAGAAAAACAAACCAAATATTGAAAGCCAAGGATTCATGTTAGAATATATTGAACGTGGACTATTCATCCCCATGAGGTTTTATAATGTAGAAAATTACAAAAAGCTTTTACTATTCAGGGTGAATTCAATTATAAATCACTTTTTTACCTTACCTTTACTCAACAAACGAATGTTTTGCCGGAAGAAGTTTAACCCAGCGTCTTGGCTACCGCAGCGGGCCATTTGCTGCTTGTTTTGTTACCGTTTTCGGTTGTCATCTTCGCAAACAAGTCGTCCCATTGTTGCTCTTTACTGTCTGCTGTGATAAGGAAATTCGGCCGCTGGCTTTCGGAAACTCCCAAAGTAGCGTACGGTTCTCAAAGAAAAAAGGTACAGGAAGCACTTGAATCCCGCTATGTTCGACTTCTTAGAAAGCAAGCTTAAACAACCACAACGACGACGGTCAGGAGAATAGTTTCCATAGGCAAAACAGAAAAACAAGTACAACAACAACAATTCTGCACGTGTATCACGCTTTTTGGTACATTTCGTTACTGCACGACCTGTGCAAGACGACCAACAGCCTCGTTTGTGAACAATAGATTTGGCATCTGCATATTTTGTGCATGGGTTTAGACCTATTTGGCTAACTCAATGTTGTACCCAATTCAAATCTCCCGGCGTTAAGATTCTTTGTGTATTGTATTTCCATTAAAATGTGGCATTCACATTTAAATGATACGGAAATTCCTGAAACAAAACGTTATATTCCCAAAGGGTTTGAATTGGGTACAGCATAGCTATTACTTTCATCTCTACCGCATTGGAAATGTCATTTTTGTATCCCGTCTCTAATGAACAATTCAAAACGAAAAACAAAGCTGGCGTGCGGTTCACAAAACCCCCGCCGAAAACATTGCTTGGTCCCGAAAAACCATTTTCATTGCACAAAGTTCATTAGCACGAATGCAGCTTTTTAAAAAAAATCGAATGGAAAAATAGAAAAACTCAGTTTTTTGGCCTACCATGCAAAAATTCCAAATGGAAAAATGGATGGAAAAAAAAAAAAACTTGAATTGCTTTTTGACCCAGGTTTCTGGCGCGGTTGTTTGGCCTTGAAGCCAATAGTCTAGTCTCGAATTAAAAATTAAATTAACGACACATTCATACAGGGTTAGCCTCGACGTTAAAAATTGAAATGGCAAGTAAAAAATTTGAATATACACAATTGTAATAAACAGGTCTTTTCTCGTTGGAATTTGTGAATATTTCAGCGCGGTTTCTTTAATTCAGCGGTCATAGCGAACTCGAAAATGGACTATTAGGCTATTTGCATGATGACGTCTTTTTACTACTAAGACTACAATTCATTTCGTTTTTTTCTTTCATATTTAAATCTGGTAATCCCAGTGAGGCTCAAAAAACAAAAGCAGTAATTTACTCATGAAAGCAAAACCCTGACGGATCATGTGAATGGCCAATTGATCGATCACAAAACTACGCCCCGTCCACACTAATGCGTTTTGTTTGACAATGCAACATTTCGATGCATTTTTCCGTCCACGCTAAGGCCCAGTCTGCAAGAATCCGGATATTTTTGTAACCGCATACTTTTTTGTACGAATCGGCCTTATGCACACGAACACAGTGAATCCGCACACCGGAACCGCTCTCCAGAGTAGGTTTTTTGGGATCGGACGGGTTTGGTGAATTCTTGTGGACGACTGAAACCCGAAATTTTGAAATCAGCTACGTCATAAACTCGGGTCCAAGTCTTCAGTAAAAAAACTCAAAATGGGGACAACAATTCTGTTGTTCTGACAAGTTTTGAAATGTTGGCTCAGGGGCGGATCCAGGATTTTTTTTAGGAGGGGGTGCACTCGTCTCTTGCTCTACTTCAACACCAATAAACCACATAGTTTTTTTTGGCAGAATACCAGTTGTATTAGAAAACCGCAGGTCATCTCACCCTCCCCCTAGATCCGCCCCTGTGGCTAAAAGAGCTGAAACTAGAAAAGATACGGCCAGTGTGCTCGAGATAGCTACAACTACATTCAAAACTGCCGCGAAATTACATCGCGGAAAAGAAAATGCAACAGATCATGGATTGTCAATTTTTCAGTTTCTTTTTTAACTAACGAGTGCCATACCAAGACCGGTAGTAAACATTTTTTCTCTTTTTGGAGCCTTTCTGCCGCTATATTAATTGCAGCGAAGATTCGTGATTCTGAAAGACCAAAATTTCACCACTGTCAAAACTTTCCATTGCAGCGTTCAACAGACCAAATTTGCAACACAGCCCTTTCAAAGCTCTTTTAGAGCGCTTCTTGAAGACACAAAACTTATAAAATCACTCCTTATCGATTGTAAATAACACCAGATCACCTCGATCAACACAAAAACGCAAAACCTTCTCCATTCGCAACGCCCTCTGGGTTACTAAGTTAATAAAATTAATAATTAATTAATTTTTCATTTTTTGACGGAGAAATCTACCCATTTTATAAACTGGGCATGCCTTGAGACAGCGCAGTTAATATAATGGCGACTGTCATCGGGCATAGCAGCGTCGAAGTCAGTAATTATAAGTTCGCACTACTGCTTATTGTAATCCACTTTCAACAACCTACAGAAAAAGCTATGTTTATTTCCAACTAATCGGACTACTCTAATTGTAGCTATGTACAATTATCTACAAATTTGTTTAATTTGAAACTTTACAAAATTTTCTTTTTTATTAACAAAACCGGCTTGACGTAAGCAATAAAACCTAATATTTAAAGACATTCTACTAAGTGTGTCAACGTAAACATTCTAGATTCTTTTTTGACCAACTAAATTAAAGCTAAAACAAAAACTAAGGCCCCGGGGTACTACGACAAAGAGAATCGAGAAATTCAGCATGATTTACAACAATTCAAAAGTTTACATTGTTAATCCCAAATTTCCGAATATATCTACGTGGCATACGGGATGAAATTTATTAAGCGGTATTAAAGCGATTGCTTTCTTTTATATTTCTACGATTCTGCAACGAAAAATTGTCTTGCGCCACTTTTTCGACCAATCAGAGGAAAAAAGACTTCATTTTGTCTTGCTCGAAAGACTTTTCCCGCGCTAGGAGTCGGCTCTCCCGATTTACTTTGTTTACTGATTGTTTCTTGGATTGACGAATTACTCATCACTCTGGTTGCACTGTACCAAGTTCTCAGTGCATTGTGGGGCTACTGAAACAACTGGAATGTCTCACATTTCGCCTGAGAGCGACGATACCATCAGAGGATTTAGACGATGCAACGCTTATTCAGATAGGAATTCAGCTGCTTTACTTTGCTTTCAAGGATGTGAAGACCTGACTCGACTCTTAACAAATCATCCGGCTTGATAGGGTGTTGATAGTTTACCAAAAAGGACCTTCTATTCCCGGTCATGTGAAACTCTCTTGATGCCCGTGTTGTTATACCTGAAGTAAGCTTGTCCAAAGGTGGAAGCACAAAGCATTGACGACACTGTACACGTGCCTCCTGATTTTCTTGCTAAGAAGGCGGGGTTGGCGGGATGTCCCGCCTTCATCGGGCTGAGAATCCTCACGGAAAACAACTAACATGTCCTGTAACAACAACAACAAAAATAGTTAAAAAGGTGCCTTTAGCAAAGTTTTTAAGCTCAGGACAATCCTCATACCCACCATTCATCAAAGAGATTTGAAGGCACTGAAAATAGGAGAAGAGAAGGAGGGGGGCGAGGAGGGGGAGGGGGGGAGGAGGAGTGGAGGGGGGAGGAGGAGGGGAGGAGAAGGAGGAGGGGAAGAAGGAGAAGGGGAGGAGGAGGAGGAGGAGAAGGAGGAGGAGTGGAGGAGGAGGGGGAGGAAGAGGGGGAGGAAGAGGAGGAGTGGAGAAGCGCGAACTCATTCCCGAACAGCGGCTGCTAATCGAGTCTACTTTAAAATCCGACACCGTTCAACTTACCGCAGTGTCGTTCTGTTCGTCTACATGAATCAGTACAAACATATCTGGATCGTCTGCATTTAAAATTGCCAAGTAATGAACTGTACTATCTTCTCCTACGAAAAGACGATGGGTATCCGGAAACTTGGCGGTGATAATACTGAAAAAAAAAATGATTACAAACGCATGTCCAGATCATGAGAATTAAGAAAATGATCAAACGAGGGACATCCCTACAACAACATAAAAAACAAAAATAAAGGACCACATTCGATTTTCAAGGACCACCTTCCAGGAATGTAATTTCACAGATTGTAAAAAACGCACATTGAACTGTTTGCTCTACTAACTTCTCTAAATTCTTCAGTTCACTTGTCTTAAATTCTTGCATAAAACAAAACAAAATCTTTTTGTAAATCACCTTTAACTTCTCTGAGTTATGATTAATATTCAATCTTGGACACCCAAAAAGCATTAAAAACACTTTTCAGGCCCCTACACACTAAGTTGAAGAAAATTTATACACTTTCCCAGGACTTGTACAGACATTTAAGTACTTTTCAAGGAATTCAAGGACTCTTCAAGGACTTCCCCTTCACTTCAAGTACTTTTGAAGACTGTGATACTTGTATCGATACTGCAATACTTGAGTTACTAAGGCAGCTTTATTTGTCCGTGTCTTGTTTTTAACATTAAAGACATTTTGCCAGTGTCCCCTCCCCAGTTGTCACTTTATGGGGGGAGGCACTTACAACTAACCAGTTAACAATTGTCGTAAGGGGCACAATATTAGTTGACCTAAATGTGTCCCTCACTTCTTCAGTAAGATAATTGTTTCTGTGATGGACACGGTTGAAACCGGCCCCAACTGTCCGTCACTGAAGAGTCTGTTTTGAAGAGTTTAGTAGACGTAACATGCCTTAAAAACGGTAGGGAAGGGACCAATACCAGGTGTCCGTCTTGTAGACGTGACTGTACAGAGAGATTGGACTGACAAGTACTTAATCGCGATGCGACTGCATCTATTAATTGAGCATTCGCCACTTGCAAATCTTCCGTAATGCACCTTATTTGCCCCCCCCCCCCCCCCCTCCAATTTTTTTTATTTCTCCAGGGTATTACAGCCGTCCCAGAGAAAGAAATTAAAAAAGTTTTTTTCGGCGGGGGAGTGCAAAAGATTGCAAGTGGCGAATAATTACCGCTGAAAATCTTACCGGAATAAATTAAGGTACAGCAAGGCTCCGTTGGCAAGCAAAGGTATCCCCTGTGGATCCTCATCCCGTAAAGATTTGCTAACAACGACAGAGAGCAACTGCTTGAACTCCTCAAAGCTCAGTCGAGATGCTGAAGACTGAGAAGAAAATATAAATTCCAAGAGATTGTGAGGCAAGTGTTACCATCACTCTCAAAAAAAATAAAAATTGGAAAAATCAATAAAATGGGCTAACTCATTCGGACGTCAGTCAGTCGTCAAGGAAATACATACAGTCGAACCTACCGTAAGCGACCACCCAAAATGCAAAGATTTAGTGTTCTCTTACGAGAACTGATCCACATGGGCACTCTTAATTATTAGAAGAGGTATTAAGTTACAATATGTGTAGTTTCGTGTTGTCACCTATCGTTCTTCGCATACTCTCAGTAGTGTAGTACATTCGGTAAACAAAGAGGTCAATGCATAGGTCAAGGGGTCGCTTTGAAGAGGGCAAAAACAAAGGAAAATTCTACAACGGTCATCCAAATAAGTTATCGCGCTCGCTTACAAGATGTGATCGTTCGTGGGAGCTTCCCATGCTAATGATTTGACTGAGAAAATTTTGGTGTTTTGGGAGGTGGTCGGTATTTGGATAAGTTTGTAAGAGGAGACAAAACGGTTTTGGCGGCAAGACTTATTTACTTCTAACTTACCTCTTCGGCCCCAGGGTACAGAGTCACTAGCCCTTTCATCCAGTGCGCTTTGACGTTATAATCCGACCCAGATCTCCGCACTTCACTTCGCTTACGTCCTTTCTTCGTCCCATCTTTCTCCTCTTCCCCAATTCCCCCAACGAGCAAACGATGCCACAGCATATCCCGGCTGCAGTGAGTCTGGGCTCGACAGACCACGTGCACTAAATGAACACGTGCCCGCTGAAAAGCTTCGGTTATAAGTCTGAATTCTTTTTCAGAAACACTGTCACATAACGAACCTTCGTAGGACGGCACAGCCAAGGATCTATTGGAACCAGATCGCTGTTCCATAATATTCTCACCAGAGCTTTAAACTTTTTTCCAAATCCGAACTCCCGCAATCTTCCGATCTCTCTCAGTATCCAGTTCTGTTTTCTGTTTCCTACAGTTTGTGTATTAATTCTGTTTTTATAACCATATTAGGTTCTTAAATTAAAGGAAATAATCTAGTGGTTTTTTTTCCTTAGTCATTTTTGAAACTGAACTGGGAAGGATGAGACATGATTCTGTGGCAGAAATGTATTTTAAGAACTAATTCTGGCATTCATACCATTTGCCACCACAATCTATTTGGTGTTTCCTTGCAACTTTGTCATGTCCCTTTTTATATGAATTCCACACATTCTACACTTCGGTTACACATTCTGTTTCTTGATCCTAGCTGGCTTGTAAGATGTGTGGTCTTAACACCTGATTCTGAGCTGCAAATACAGACGCCAAGATAACGACATAGACTCACAGAGAATAGAAAAAAAATGTTAACAAAGCTAGCCCTCCGACCAAGCTTTCTTTTGAACTTACCACTATAATGAAATTTAAGAGCTGGCCTTTCCAGTGCTACACCCTCGCGAAGACCAAGGCTAACCAGTACAGGTTTTTTAGAAACGTGAGAAACTAACCCTTTACTGAAACAATTGGTCTGGTGTGCGTTAAAAAAGTTGCCTCAACTTTGAAACAATACACTCATTCGTTCCTTCAATTGTCTTCATTAACAAAGTCTTCTGTGGGAAGACCCCACCTAGGGGTTTAACCCCTTAGCTTACCCTTGTATACACCATTTGTGACAGAAAAGGCACCCGTTTCGTACACCTTCTATTGACAAATGGTACCCCTTTCACATACCCAGTTTAAGACTTTACATCCCTTTAAACTGCAGTAAATGCACTGTGTTTTAAATATGAATAAATCACAAAACTAGAATTTTTGGGATCGTTTTCGCAGACATAAAACGCAACTGTAAACCATTTTGGGCCTTTTTACAAAGTTCCCTACTCTTTCATATAATTCAGCTACTGAAATCCTTACCCCTTCATGAACTTGAAGCCATGAAAGCTACACATAAAGGCCAGTATATGAAAGTAAACCCCCGGGTGTTTGACACCAATGACAATGCATCACCAACAAAACAATCATGCTACAAGCAGAGGCCAGGCCGCGGCAGGATTAGCTCAGTCGGTAGAGCGCTTAACTGCAAGCCCCCGGGTTGTTTGACCAATACTTAGGGTCTTAAAATAATGAGAAAAGGTATTTTCCTTTGCCCTGCGGGCGGCTGGACCTTCGCGTGGCTCGGATGACCACGTAAAATGGCGGTCCCGTCTGCATTAGGAGACGTTAAAATGAGGGCCACAAGTTTATTAGCCTTTGGCTATTAAGTGCTACCCTCTTTAAATAAAGGCTATTTATTTATTTTTTTTTTTTCAGGCTCTCTTCCTTTGTACTGCCGAAAGCCAAAAGCCACGGTGACACTGCACGATCAAGAAAGAGCTCCTTTGTTGCAGTGGTTGGATTCTGTGACACAACAAAATGAAGGCAAAAGAGTTGAAAGGGCGAAAGGCAAAGAACCAGGTGTGTCTATTGAGCAATCATCCGAAGCCAGTGAGAAAAGTGTGGTGGTAGTTAGTCATAGAGTAACCAAAGACGGCATGGAGTACCTAGTGAAGGGCACACAAGAGCCTGACAGTGCCGGAATGTGGATCCCAAGAGAGAATGTCGATCTCACTCTTGTAGCGGCATACACAAGACGGCAGAGGGCTTCTCGTTGCTCAACGTAGTCAACGGAACACTTCAGGCTTCTTTTACTCGTGCACGTACGTTAGCACAACTAATACCTTATTATAGGAGATTAACGATGCATGTTATGCAACGAAAATACGGTCATTTTAAAGATGTTTTGTTTCTTTGTTAATTAAAATTGAAGTGTTTTACTGTAAAGACGCTATTCGTGGTTAAAATAATTCTAAACATGCAAAACGTGTAATAATTAAGATTGCACAAGTAGTAAAAAACGGCAAATCTTAGAATATATGCCGGGAAATCTAATAATTTCCGGGAATGTATCCCAAAAATTCGGGAGGATGATCTAAATTTCCGGGACGACTTAAGCTAACAGCGTTTGTTAGAGTTGTCACCCCCCGTACCTTTTTACCAACATTGAGGGCAGAAAACATGATACATCTGTTGCTTCTAGCCTCATAAAACATTTGGAGCAATTTGAGTTTTTACAAAATAAATGACTTGATTTTTTCATTTCATGGGTACTTAAAAAAATAGTAACTTAGGAAACATAAACTCTTATGGATTAACTTTACAGTGGATTAGAAAATCCCTCTCTCTCAGATATAAAACTATGAGGTGGTCTGGGGGAGGAAACCCTGCAATGGAGTATGAGTTGATATGAGGTAGCCAATGGCTTCCACATACATGGAAACCCCATGTTATAACAGTTGCGCACCTGTCAAACCCCCCTGTGTTAAATAGCATGATTAATTCCTGCAAATAATACTGAATTAGGAAATGTCTCTGTGACAATGTATACTCCTACTTAATTTTTGTCTTGTATTTCATTGTGAGATGATCAAAAGGTTGACACTGTGTTATCACCAGGAAATGAATAAAAATATGACTGATGGCAAAAAAAGCAAATGACTGCGGCTGCAATAATTTATTTATTTCTTCTTAGAGATATTACTGATCAAAATAGAAAGGTATTCTGGAGAAAAGCTACATTCTTGCCAGTCACTTTTACGTTGAGCAGTACAAATGTGGTAATCCAAAGTCAGTTGAACTGAACTGAAGCTAAAGTTTAGTCGACACTTTACTTACCCAGAGCAAAAGAGTGACAAAAGTGGGCCATTTCTCCAGCATATTAAGGTGATTCCCTAGTAAAAGAACCCGCCATAGATTTCCGATGAAACTTGGTATGCTTTTGTTACAGGACAACGCAATATTAAAAATGTAATAAAAAGAGGGGGTCACCGTGCTTGTTTTCACGCCACAATGCTGACAAATACGGTTATTAAGGTGACTTTTGGTGATCTCCGTGCACAACAAATAAGAGCGACTATTTTCCAATGCGGCATGTTATATCACACAGAGTACGACTTTCTTTGATTGTTTATTCATCTACGTCCCAGAAAAAATGTCTTCAAATACCGTGCATTATTTTCTCCTTTAAAGAAAACATAATTTGGACTTTGCTCTGTGGGGCCCGTTATGTCTCCCTCTGTAGCATTTACTTCATTTGCCAAAAAAGTAGCCATAGATTTCTGCCAATTTTTTTCCTCAGTTATTGAGGATATTGTTCTCATCGAATTTATAAAATAAAAAGTGGGGGTCACCGTGCTCGTTTAAGAGAAAAACAGCATTTTCCTCGCTATCGAGCTTAGTTTGAGGGAAATCTCTTACGTTTTGTACGCGCACGCGCTCATGTTCGCGAGCTGATGACGCAAAAATCGTGCGCAGTAGGAATGCGCAATGCAAAACTAAGGAATCACCTTAAAACCTGCACTCAACAAGCTCGACCAACTGGGCATGTTCGAACATTGCTTCTCAACGAACCTACTTAAGGCATAAATATTTATCTACCATACGACTTTGACAGTCTTTCCGCATATATCTTCGTTAGTTTGATGTTCAACATAGACGAATGAACCTCTTCTATTCCGAGAAAAACTTTCAGCCGCAAACATGGCCGCCGGTCCAGCATTTGATCACGTGACTTAGTTTATCCCGTGACTGAAGTACACACGAGACCGCGTCAATGAAAACACCACTCACGTGCTTTTCGCTCGTGGAGTAGATTATCATGCTGGCCTGCAATCTTTGAAGTCTACACACCCACAGAGACATTCCACCTTGTTTCTATTGACTGGCTACCTGCTTGTATTGTGGAAAGAAAAATCGTCCCGGCGACACAATTCGAGGTAAAGTAAAGAAAATTTTTCGCTGTAGCAGATAGTATGGCCGTACTTGGCGGGAGAGCCCGAATTTTCCGCCGTGCGGGCGAAAAGAAGGGAAACTCGCGAGGTACCTCGCTCCTCACTTCGAAGCATGGAAACTAGATAGCGCGGCGCAAAGGTTACAGGGAGAGGCACCCAGGTGCCCCACTCACATATTTTAATGACGGGGGGGTCCGAATGTTTTTTTGGGTCTGACATTTTGGCCAAAAGGGATTTTTTTGGGTCTATGAAAGACGCCAAAGACGAAATCTTTCCAGGTAACAGGGATTTTTGATGTCCGTTTTTATGAGATTGTACTCTGATTTTTCATCAGCTCAAATCATAAAAAATAAGATAAGCTGCTAAATTTATAGTTTGAGGGGTTTTTTTGAAAAAAACCAAAGTTGAAGTTGGCATGTTTTAGATATTTTACCAGAATATTTTAAATAATAAAAATTTGCCGTTGATGAAAAAACACTGAGGAATAGTTTTTTGGGTATGGTACAAAAAAGTACCCGGGTTTTTTTGGGAAGACGAATTCAATGAAATTGGAAATTTTTTTGGGTATAAAATATGAACCTCTGTCGGACCCCCCCGTCATTAAAATATGTGAGTGGGGCCCCTGGGGAGAGGCAGTGTTCGTATTGCAACCATCAGTTTGTATATTAAATTTCGTTGTGAATAATTTCTGGTCAGCTGCAAGGTATTTTAATTAGCTCTATTTTATAATTCTTGTGTCAAAGTCAGCCTGATACTTGTATTTAGTTTCTGCTAACTAAATAAATGCAGTTTAATACTGTCACCAGCCCAAACACAAAGCTTTAAGCTTATTTCATTTCTTGTAGGTCAAACGCTGCGGGGTTGAACCAAGTCAAAACTTGGAACTAGGTCCTGGTGATCCGATCAGCGGAAGTAAAAGATCTTCCAACAAAATTCGGTTTTCTATAAGTGGGACGTCAAAGTTTTCTGGAGCCAGAAGAGTTGTTGGGAAGACAGGAAAGGAAGTCTTCTTACGAAGGACCTTATCACGTGGTTCGCAAAATGGTATTGGGGTGTTTTCACTGACAGAGGCAGGAGAACAACAAATTGGTTGGGTCCCTGAAAAGGACCAAGTAACTATGGATGCTGTTGGAAAGGCATGTGATTTGCCAAACTTTCATGCCAAAATCGACAGTACAAATACCAAAAATATTGGAGACAATTTTACCGAGGTAACAATTTTTATAATTATAATAAAAAGATAACTATAAAAATTGTTACCTTGGTAAAATTATTTGTGAAGGCTCCTTTGTGTAGAAGATGTCAACACAGGACACATCGCAATAGAACACCGCCTCACTAACCCATTGTTTTCCCTGTTCTTTTGTCCTTTTCTTTTCTATTGTTGTACGCCAATTGTGTCTTCTACACCAAGTAAGAGCCACAAAGCAACAAAGCTTTGTGAAATAATTAAGCTTAATACATGCAAAGAATCTTGTGTAACTTTAATTATTTTCTGGAAAATTTATTAGTTTTTTGTAAATCATCTAGCTATTTTCTTCAACTTAAAAGTTATGTCACTATTTATATATTTTTATAGTATTGTTAGATGTTGCTTCGTATTTTGATATAATTACTCTAGGCATATACCAGTCGCCATGCTGATTCCTGGCTATTTATTGACCAGCTTTGACTATATAATTGAACAACAACTGTTGTGATAATTCTCTAACCATTTTTAGCTAAAATGGTTTGAAACTGGGATACTCGAGACTATGGTGACTTATAGCAATACAAAAGTGAGCAAGATAATTATCATAATACATGTATTAGCTATTGTTATATAGCTAGACTTTCACTCAACAAAATGAGCAAGTGATTGGCTGATTCTTGGTCACGTGCCCCTAATCAAATTCAAATGTATCTTGACCGGGATACAATTGTGCAGTTGTTGCTCGCACGCCGTCTTTGTTTGTTTGTTTTTGCAATACGATTGTTTGAGGGAAAGTCTAAATATATAACACTTAATGTATGGTCCCGAGGGAAACTAGTTAGTTTTGTTTTCCCTCGAGTCCTGACGTTTCCCTCGACTTCGTCTCGGGAAACATCCCTCGGGACCATACATTAACTGTATAATATTGGTTTATTGTGAGGGATTCTGTGAATATTTTTGAAGTTTATGGAGTGACTTTGCTAACTTTAGGTTTTATTACTTGAGTCAAATAAAATCGCTTTAAGTCGCCTTAAGTCGCCTTAAATCGCCTTAAATCGCCTAAAGTCGCAATGATTTTTTTTGCCAATTTTGCTTAAGTCGCCTTAAGGTCTCGGTAAAGGAAAACGAGGTGCCCACAGAAAAAAATTCTAGTCGCGCGAGTATTTTCGCTACAAAGGCAAGTTACATATCAAATTAAAGCTAAAAGACTAAATTACCTTATAAAAGATTTTATTTCATCGAATTTCAAAAGGTGCTTAAGTTTTTTGTTCTCGAACTCAGAGGTATGGAGTTTACTGCTGAAGCTCCAGCCCTTTCGCGTTGTTAAATATTCACTTCCTTTTTATTACATCTGATTGACAGATAAAAGACCTAAAAAAGGGTGTGAGGAAATTTGCAGATGTCTCGTGTTACCGGAATTATTGCATTTCAAACTAAAAAGTCGAATCTCGAGCGCGATTTACGCAAAGAAACTGACATAAAATGAGTTACAAAGGGAAATCGGAAAATTCCTCACACCCTTTTTGAGTCTATATCATTATCCATCATATCTGAAAGTTTCAAAGCAATAGCTTAAAACCTGTCCCGACTGGAGGTCGGAGAATTTTGATTTTTGCGTCTAAAATAGAGTGAGAGAAAATCAGCTCTAAAGATTTAGCGCGAAGTCCACGCTTGGCTGGTTAGCTCAGAAAAGGCTCATTTTAGAAGGGTTAAAAAGCACTTTCTGATTTTCTTTTTCTGCCAAATTAAAATTTAGGACCCACTCATGCCAAAAATCCAAAAAAAACAAAATCGAGCAATGTACTAAAATTTTTATTTACCGAGACCTTAAGTCGCCTTAAATCGCCCAAAGTCGCCTTAAGTAACGGCGACTTAAGGTCCCAGAGTAGACCTTACCCACAAAAAACAATAAGACAATTAAGCACTGTTTTTTTTGTGACCCTTCATTTTATTCCTGTATATAGGAATTACATCTTAACATTTTTTATACTTGAATTTTAATATTCAACATCCTGACAAAAGAAAAATCAATGCATTATCCGCTTGCCGACAAACGATCAATTTCACTTACGATTCAAATCTTGAGCATCTTTGTAAATTTTCCCCAAATCAAGGTTGTTGCTCTCCGCTGCTTTCATGTCGACCAGAGTAGCGAGGTCTTCATTCATAATGAACTCCACATCACGGAGTATGACGTCATGGCGAATGTAGCTGGAGTCAACGCTTCTGATCTGAAGCACGTAATCCACACCATTAAACACCAAATGCAGCGTGTTGTGGCCTAAACAAAGCAAACTGATGTTTTAGCAACTCATGCTGTTGTCAACCATGCTGGCCCAGCTAGACAAATTTTACCTGTTGTTGGCGATGGCATGGGCGACAAAATTTTCAGGCACTGACGGACATGTAAACCCTAACCTCTTCACATAACAACTGTTCCTAAAATGGTGACACAAACAACTGTACCCTTTTGCTATATCTGAAAGATGACATAAAGGAAAACAAATGTCTCCCTCACTCCTTGTAACTATAGAAAGACCATTCAAACTCTAATTTTCTGCTCAGTTTTTACAATCTTGTCGTATTACTTGGATTTAATTATTCAACGTTCGATTCAGTCCCTATTTTTTGATATTTCAGATTCTGAAATGTTGAATATTGAAATATTGAACTTCCCTATCCCTTCAAATGCTACAAAGATTAAAGGGCCCCTTTTCAAAAGAGCTTTTCCGTATAGGCCATTATATGAAGTACCCGCCCCAAGTATGGCACATTATATTGTATTGCCAGAGATAACGTTTGGAGGTAATGGTGCCTCTCTATCAAGGCGAAGTCTTTCAATAGTGCTGTCATTGGGTAGTAAAGTGGCTATGAACCAATGTCCTGTAACGTGAATACGGACACCGCTACTCCCCCTTTTTGTTCCACTTTCCTTCACTTGCAAGAATAACTTTGTAAAGTTTAGAAGAACGTTAGTGAAAATTCGTTTCCCATAGAATCACAACCTTAAATGAGCCACTGAGTACTCGCAAAAGGAATAGGAAATAGGAATATTCCGACACTTTTCAGCAGATTTTCTTGTAGGTCAGGTGACGAAGATTCATTGACAATGCTGATAAAAGCACCTTAAAATTAGTTAAAAGAGCAAGTTTAAAAATTTTTTAAAAAAGAAAATACTTGAGATATAGTCCCGTAAATGTAAAACTTTTTTACAGACGTTTGAATTCGGACAAACATTTCCTTTCTCCAGTTCAAACGTCAGTTAAATTCAGTCGCTGTCTTTAAAGAAAAATCTCTTAAACATGCCCATTTTACTAACTTCCAGGTGTTTTTGCATAAAGGTTAATGGAGTTTCTTTGTTTGTACTACATCAAACTCTAAAATTACCGTGATAATGGAGAATACCTGATTTGATACTGTACACATCCATGAGATTTTCTGTAAGTACCAAAACATCGTCTCCTTCCTTCAGATCCACGGTGTGGCTGCTTTTCGGCCCAGAACCTGGTCGTATAATTTTGACGAGATCATTCCTGTTTGTTCCTGTTAGGTCGGAAAGGAATTGGTAGTTATACTGTTCACCGGTAACTTGGACTTTCTTCATCCAGCCAACGTACAGGTTTTTTGTTATTTTGCCGTTTACGTACAGTTCCACCAATGGTTCTACCTTGTAACTGAGCTTCAATGTGCGAAGTAAGAACCAGGAGCCGTCCTCGTTTCTTAGGGAGATCTTAAGCTCCTATCGATACCAAAGAGAGAAATACTTAACAATTAGACCCGTAGCACAATAGCCCATGAGGCGAAGTTCAGTTTTAAATCTTCTTCTTGTAACATGTTTAGCATAATCTTGACAAAAAACACCAAAATTGCAGTCATTAGGGCTGAGTCCCTTTAAAAGCAGGTGATGTAATTTGAAAACGGTCAAATTCCAGAAACTTTGAGGATAGAGACAGAGCACAACCAAGCTGGGATGCCTGAGATCGCACCAATTATGGTTTTCATAGGTTACCCAAGTAGCGTAGAAGCACATCTGGGAAGACTGTTTCAGGATGGCGGATGAGCAGCCTGTGTTTGTGCGCATGCTCATCTCACGCCGTTTCCCACTAGTGAAATTCACAAGCGTAAGATAAGCACAAGCAAGGGAAAAGGAGAAGGATTTCATTTTTTACGCTTGTGTCTGTTCCCCCTATAACGATTACTCATTTGCATAAGCCTCTGCTTATGTTTATCGCACAAGTGGGTACCGCGGGGCCGCTGAAGAATACTTGCGAGAAGAGTTGGATCTCAGTCTTCCCGTAGTTCCGACCCTCCAGCCAGGCAATCAAACCAGAGCTATCCGAATAAGTACAGCCTTATTGCGCATAACTGAAAGTTCTTCAACACGTTTCTAATTTTATCTTTCGTCATTGAAAGATAAAGATTGCTTTATGTGAAATATATTGGCCATGGACGAACATGAAGAACGATACTTTTACGCATTTTACTTTTTGTCATGTGCTTTGGTTTGTTTGTTGGTATTTACTATAACAAAAAGGATTTGTTAAAGCGATGAATAAAATTCTTTAATTTTACATTCTCGGCTGCGATTACGTTTAGTAACGGCAAGGAAAATGAATATTACAGAAAGAAATGAGGAGGGTTTACAGAAATGAAATTCGTTACCGGGTGGTTGTAATCGAAGTTTTCTTCTCCAATATCCCCCGATGACGTCACACGGATCCTGGGAACCTTTCCACTGTCATCAACTATGGTCTGCGTAATTCCCCCGGAATCTGTACTCGCATGGATGAGGTCAATTTCGTAGACATTCTGCCCTTGAGATTGTTCTACCCTGAAATCATTGCCATGCAGGACAATGTGATCGTTAAAAGGGCTTCCACGCACCAGAACTATGCCCTTGATGGTCCCAAACTCGTGCTTTTGGCGGTTTGAGCCATGAAAAAACCCTACACGTTCGTTAATACGATTAAAGTACACTCCCTTGATCTGCGCGTGCGCCTTCGGTATCCCTCCGAAAGTCAGTTCATTTTTAGCTGTACCAGTGGTGACATCGAGCACATTACTAAAGTCGGAAGTGAATTTGCCCACAGGACCATTAATAGCAATGACGTCATTACCGTAACCCGTTTTGACTTTAATGGTCTGACCAGGTTTCAGGTTGCCGAAGTCTTCGATGGTCACGTGATCATGAATATAATAATTTTCGTACCCGTCTGAATATGTCTGGATCACAGCACCCTTGAGTGGTTTTCCAGACGTCTCTACAAGTTTGGTATCGACAAAGACGGTTACAACTTGCGAGTTTTTATCATCTCTTTTTCCGTAAAAGTCGTACCCGATGGGTTCTGTACCACTAACGGTCCAGTAGGCATTTGAAAACTTTGACAAGTCGACCATGCGAAATTTACCAGCGCCAAGGTATTCCCCAGACGTCGCACTTCCGGTGAAGGGTTTGAAGGAGAGTGGAGCGGGTGGCATGCCTAAAACCTCGATCATGTTGGCTGCGTTGCTCTCGTATATTGTGCCGAACTTTCCAAGAGGAAGCAAAAAGTTCCTGGTATCGTCCAACTCGTCTTTGGAATACTGCGTCAAAGTCCGCAGATTTTTTATGGTTGCGTCAATATTGGACGAGGGATTGCTGCTGAAGACATCAATCAAGGTGGCGACAAGACCAAGAAGAGCGCCAACTATGGCCCCGAGAGGACCTGCGATTGTGGATCCAGTTGCTACGGAGTATATGAATGTACTTATTCCAACAATACCTGTCAGCATAAACAGAACATGAACATTGATGGTTACTGTACATTTATTGCAAAGAAATATTGTAAACAAAGAGCGGCTTTCAGTAGCGTGTCGAAAGTAATTTAGCAATTGCCTTGGTTTTGCGTTTCCGAGCTTCTCTATTGGCCCAATCTGAGTTAAGACAAAAACCAAACGCACGCACTTTAAAACACTCTACTTGGTCCATACTCTCGTGACCACAGCATTCCCCAATACTGATGACCTTGTGTTCAGTTAGTAAGAAAATAGACTTGGTCCTGAAGTATAATCGCATCTTTGAGCTTTGAAAACGAGCGCACGCGTCCTGTGAATCTAGGGAAGGTCGCACGACTCTATACATCTTTACTGCTCTCATAAACCTGTAAGAACCTTTCGATAGATAAAAGATCGTCTTTTCCCAGCAAAATTTAGCCAACCTGCAGCTCAACTTTATAAAAGGAGACTGAAATGTGTTTTTTTTTTCATTTCATAATACAAAACAACACGAGATATATTGGAGAAAAACTAAAATAAATTCTAGCAACTCGTAGTGACCCCTACGTTTAATCGCATAAAATGTAAGTAACACGCATATTTAGCATGGTGACCAGCCCCCTGTTGACTTGATAGCTGGTAGAGTACATTAGTTCACGCGTTACCATGTTCCGCATTTTGAACGATCTTGATATTTTGTATTTGTATAGGTAATAGCATGATTTGTAGTGATATTTGGCATAAATGGTGACCAGCGTAATTTCACGAGCCGTTAGGCGAGTGTTGACTTGATAGCTGGTAGCCAAATATCAGTACAAATCACTATTAGTTCACCCAAAAAGGTTTTACCATGTTTTCAAATTTTGAACTAAGCCAATCAAATTGATAATTTTTTATTTAAAGGCAAATTGCAGGAAACTTTAAGAACAAGAGACCATTTAAGGTTTACCCGAAAAATGCCGACGTCAGCATTGACTTTCATGTTGAAGACCAAAGCACAATTTACTAGATGTCTACTAAAAAAATTAGACCACTTGTCCTTGTTTCCTCGGCCCCGCCTCGATGATTACTCACTCATAGAAAACTTGGCCTCGTGGTATCATTGTTATATAGCAACCAATAAGAGAGCCAATCAGATTCACGGAATTGGAATGTAGTTTGGCTGTCGAACTTACCTGCGGCCATACTAAGACCAGACGATGCCATTCCAGCATCATTGCCATCCTTGCGAGCCGAGTCAAAAGCCCAGGCATTAACACCAATTGCAATAGCATCAAAAAAAGCTCCGAATACGTCAAGTGCTGTCCCAACTTTACTCCACTTTGCTGCTTTGTTAAGATACTTCAAGGTGTCGTCTGACTCGGGAAGAGAAGATACCACGGATTTGAATTCGTCGATAGCAGTGTCCTTCAATGCTTCAACCTTCGAAATAAAACTAAATTTAGCTTTTCGCAATTCTTTTATGTGTGGATTAATTAACATTACTTCATAGCATATCTGGAAATAAGGCTATGAGAATAATCTCAAGAACTAACAACTCGACGCGACTTCAGGTAATGCGAGAAAAGCTCGGACTGTTATCCTTATTTTGATAGACGACGCTATGTGAGTTTACAAGTAGTTTTTAAGATCATAAACAATTTAAATTGTCCTAGGCATCTGCAAGGATATTTGTTTTGGGATCTGGACTCCGAGGCAAGGACCTAAGTGATATTAGTGAACTCTATTTTCCGCGAGCTAAACATGCAGCCAAAGCCGCTGGTAAAGACTGGACCTCGCTAAGGAACCTTGCATTTGTTTCAATGCTTAAGACACTTAGATATAGGAGATAAAAAAAATGTGTTGCATACTTTTTTTCGAATTTAATTTATCTTATGTCTATTAATTAACAGTTGAGAAAACCCTCTCAATACTTTTTAAACGTTTAAATTGATGATCATTGGTTTATACCAGCGTTTCCTATTTTTAGATCCGCTGATCGATTTAATTATTATTATTATTATTATTATTGCCCCCGCAGGGATTTCGCCCAGAGGGCGAAATCCCGAGGAGGCACTCTAGTAACTCGCGCGTATATTAATGAAGTACTTACAGTTGAAATATACAGTCATACAGTCAATATAGAAAAAATCTCGATTTGCTTGAACAGGGGCCGCGAGGAATCGGTAGGTAATGATGACGTTTCTATTGTTTGCGCCCGCAAGTACGAAATGGTTAGGATGACGTAAAACACAAAAAATCCCGAAGGGACCGCTTACAATAGGTAGATTTTGTAACATTAATTGTGCATTTATACTTCGATACTCTTTTGGGTTACGTGTTATCAGTGACATTCTGTGGAGCAGTTGTTATGAAAGTTATGGACAAAGACACTCGTTAAGCGCAGATGAAGTTATAAGGTGCGTATAACAGTGTATATTTTAACACTAAGTGAGTTTGCCAGACACGAGTTCACAAATCTTTGAGTGGAAACCTTGCCAGACACTCTTTCTCTTTCTTTGACCTGAATAAGACCCCAAACAAGCAAGAAGAGTGAATGATTCAACGGCTAGCTTATCACTATCAGAACGACGGACGATTACAGAAATTCGCCGACCATCACATTCTGTGCTGACTTTTTCCCTGCTCACAGGTGTCCTTCCGCTATAAAGTTTAAAATAAGACTAGACGTCGTTTTAATTTCTAAGGCTTACTTTCCGGCAAATAAAATGAACTAAACGTAAAAAGTGAAATAGAAATAGCGAAAAATTAAACCTCTAATTAAATACTTCCTATGGTTTAGAATAAACTATTCTCGAAACTGGGAATGTTTCATGATCAAAGCTGTGTAAATCAAACTGAAACTGCGCATGGAACTTTGCGTTTATTTCCTGTATTTATCTCACCTATTGTATGGAATATGTGTGAAAATCTTCATTATGAATCGGTATATTTCAAAGAGCTACACAACGAGCAAGAATACTATTGACCGACAATGTACAGAGCGGGGGCAGCTGTAGTGTCAACTATTACTAGTTATTATTATTATTATTGTTATTTTCATAATCGATATCATTGTTGTTATGATCATCATCATCATCATCATTATTATTATTATTATTATCATTAATTTATAACAAGAGAATGTAGCGCCATAAACAAGGCATTTAAAAGGTGCCATTTTCCATGATGTACCGACCATAAAAGCTCTGATTGGTTGCCAAGTATCTCGCTTAAGGCTTGTGACCAGTAAAGTGTAACAGCTTGATCAGCTTTGATTGGCTGTTTTGCCTGTTTCACCATCTTGTGGAAGCATGCGCAGATCTAAAGTCACATGAAAGTTTTTGAAGAGAAATAGAAAACTACGCTCTAACTATTCTTTAAACACGACCAAAGGGTAGGCTGGATCCATTTGTCAAACAATAACATTCATGACAATTGTCTCGAAATCTTCCGATCTGTCTATCGTGCAAGTGACATGGAAATGATCAAATGCATGTTACAGGTCCCAGGAACAGGTAAAAGCAACTGAAATAATTCCGGTATTCCATAAAGATCCTTATGGAATCTTTTGGCCTGTTTTCAAAATAATATTCAAAAGAAGATGAAACTTAAAGCAAATTTAGAATGGACGGCACATTCATTCTAGCTTTCACTTTGTGCAAAAATAATATGCGAGCGTGAGACTGATGTTAGAAATGAGATGGATATTGTCAAAACGGGAGCTACTAAGCTTTCTTATAGCGCTCCACAATCAGTTTGGCTGTATGCTGTAGGTCGATGCCTCAGCTAAGATTAAGTCAGCCTCTTCCTTTATTTACGCTTTCACTTAGCTGCATTTACTGAGTTGGTCCAGCGCTCATTTTTTTCGCATTACCTCACGGATAAGGTCATCCTGATTGGTTATTGGTGATGACACTCCTCGGCTTATAGCGTTACGATAGTTTGCTATGGCTTTGTTTACGTTCTTGAACTGTTTCTTAGTACTGATGTCATTTGCAATCAGACTTGTCCAGGGGTTTTGCACCACAGCACCTGCTGTTATATCAAGCACTGCAAGCGTTGTAATGGCCTGTTGTAAGCTTTCCATTGCTGCTTCCTTTTCACCTGCGTGAGAACATATCATAGTAAACTGTGTTCAATTTGTTATAAACACAAAGCGCGCATCTTGCACAATGCGCCCCACCCCCTTCCCCCGCAGGGTACAGGCTGATCGTTACAACTGAGACGCAAGATGATCAAAAATTATTGCTTCGCCTATATTCTTCTTTATTGTCGGGTGACTTGGGAAAGATTTCAAGTATTGAAGAAACTGTTATGCTTTCTGAGCGCTGCCTTAGCAGCAGCGAAATGAAAGCCTGAAAAATTCAGTCTCCAACAAGATTTTTCAGATATCATTTCTCTGCCGCTAGAGTAGCGCTCACAACTGTATGCGATGAACTCGAAAACAAAATATGTTCTCTCTGCAGTGTAAATATATGTCTTTCATATATTCTCTCCACTGAAGAAGCTGTTTTCTTCAAGGGGATATTGGAAACGCTTGACGTTAAGAACAACTCAAAGTAGCAGTTTTGATCATGTTCCATCTTCCTTTTTTTTTAACCATTGACGTACATCCCCGCCCTAATGAGTTATCTCAATTACAATCTTTCTATCTTTTTATAGACTATTAGTATAGGTAATCATACGGTTTCGAGATCAATTTGGAATTGGTTTGCACCAGTGAGTTTTTCAAAAAGCTGCAATTGCACGAGCCGCTAAGGCGAGTGTAATTTCAGCTTTTTTAAAAACTCACAATAGGTTTTATGTCCTCGCTAGCGAGTCACTTAAAAGTTAAAACGCGCCAACCTCTTTTCATCTGGTTGATAGCATCGATTGTAATCGCTCGGGAACTCATTCCAAAAACAGTCGACTCCGGTGCCACAAACAAAGACACTTTGGTTAGCCTCTGTGTCCAGATCCCTGAGGACGCGGAGCGGACTGTTGCAGACAGCAAATAGAGGCACAGCACTAACAGCAATACACGATCCACACGGAGCTTCATTGCCAAGTACTTCAAAACCTACAAGATTAACCTTAAAAGTTACCTGCTAGCAACGTTTATCGCATGTAACTCTTAATGTTACGGCGTTATATAAGCCCCTCTAAAGGGGTCTTTGAAAAATACAAGCCCCAGGCGTATTTTCGACTTATTACAACTGTACTACAAAACCCTCCTTAGATTTTTAAACATTGTTTCTCTAAATTGTCTCTGGTGTGGGGTTTTGAAAATCTTCACTGAAATCATTGTAGAAGCGGTTTCGGCCACCTCTTAGCAGTTCTGCATGTTTGTCTTGTGTTCTTCGTAGTTCCGTGTAATGGCAGCTCTGCTAGAATACACTCTTTTTTATAACAATGTTGTTTCTTCTTGGAACTAAGTGATATTTTTAAAAACTTGTGAATAGTGCAGATTTTTAGATTTTTATTATAAACCTTCACTGTCTTCAAAATGATTGCAAATTTCAAAATAGATTTTTAATACTCGTAGCATCCCTATTTTAATTTTTTTTATTTTGTACTTGGAATGTTCTTCTAGTATCCACAATTAGCTAATATCTAGCTAAATACTCTGATACTTAAGTTCAATCATTCATTCATTCCGGTCCACGCTGAATATTCTTATTTTTGTGTAGAATTTAGGCTAAAAGTATTCCTGTGAATATTCTTAGATTATAAGGTATGACATTTTCATTTAGAATGTATTGGGGTATAAATTACAAGTGTTTAGTATCTACCATACATATGTATTACATGTACCTTTCTTGCATTGAACATTTCGCTACTGCAGGTTTTTATCGTTTTATTGGCCAGTTTTGCCGTTTAGAGAAAGGAACAATTTTACACGCTTTATTGTCAAAGACATATACTGGTATTGTATCAACAAATTTCAACACGCAAAATTATGTTCTTTTCAAAATCTCAACCTCGGATTTGTTTTTAAGTATTCTAAAAATTCCCAAAACTTCAGCCTCGATCAGATATTCTTAAAAAACATATTCTTAAAAAAAAATGTAGACGTTATCAACTACTTATGCTAATTGCTAATTTCATATCATGTAACTTTCTGTGGGGAAACGTTCGTTTCTTCTTTACCCTTCTTATTTGAAAAGGCCTATTGCAATGTGTAATAGTATCGATAGCAATTTTGCGATTGGTTTGTTTTCGCGTTACCAAAGATTGGTAAGCTTGCGCGTTACCTAAGCTTTGCAAATTGACTCACCCTTTGATTGCAAATCCAGTCTTCTCGAGATTGACAAGAGAATGAACTAAAAGGTTGTTCAATTTTTCTTTTAATGACTGAAACCAAATAATGATATATTTATCAATAAAAAACCTTTGTCTAGTGATTCGTTCTCTAGGTTGACTAGATTACCTGCGAGCTATTGTGTTCTAAAACAATGAGAGCAACGATATCCAAAATAGCCCATTGTACAGTTGCCGGTGAAAACGAGGCTGGAGTTGACCTTGTTTTGATACAGCCCTTCCTGCTTTATTATGTAAATCATGTCTTTCTTATGCTAACTAGTATTTTTTAAGCAAAATTTACATTAGAAAAGGATCGAGGTTTTTATCAAGACAAGGTCAACTAAGCACACAACTGTAAACTGGCCTATTAAAATTCTTATTTGGCAATAACACGTTTGATTGATTCTACTGTGAAAAATTAGCCAACCGCTTACGAAGTTCTTAATTAGTTCTCGCAGAATAGGGATTAAGAGGACCATCATCAAAGGAAACACCGGTTCAGCCTTCTGGTATGTGATACGTAAAATAATTATCTTGAAAAGATGGCAAAAACAGTTAAGTATAACATTGTATTATTGCAGAAATATTGGTATTTAGTCAATAAATGGTCACAAATTTTCTCCAAGAGATGACGAAATCGTACATTTCTTAGGTGTTACAGGGTGCAGCTGATATGGATCCCCGTGGACTGGTAGATAAGAGTCAATTCAATACAATGCAAGTACAGAATTTATGGCGTTATTTTCGAGAACGACTGACCTAGATAAAAAAAACAAAAGCGTTAATTTTGACACCACAAATTTAAAAGCAGTATCAGTGCACAAGACTTTCAGAGCATCGCCCAAGAGTTAGCCGGGTCTCAGGAAAATCCCAAAGCCACCCGGTCTCAAACCAGGTCAAGCGTTCCCGTCCCTAACGCACCAATGAATTCAGTAACGGAAGAATGATTTCGTTCCTTGATTCAATAATCCATTCATAAAATGAACAATTAAATATCCATATTTACCCTCGATTCCATAATCCAATGTTGATTCGATTACCGTAATTTGAAAAACTGTACACTTTCCGCAAGTCGACCAAAGAATTTTGTTTTTTCTTCTTTTTTTCTATAGTTAAGGGTCGAGTGCGGGCGAGTTCTGAAGTTCAACCCAAACAAACTGTACGCCATTTTGCCGCCAGTAATCAGTGCAACAGACCTGACCTCTTAGAAAACAGGACGGTCAAACTAAAGTCAGTGTATGTGCGGTGATTGGTGGATTTCGATCCCTCTCTTTGCGTTTGCAATCTGTCTATTCTAGCTGTTATTTTGATTAAAGGCGATGAAAAACCCAATCGTATAAGGTAGGAAAAGGGAAGCAAATACAGGTAGATTTTGTTCATAAACCATGCAAATCAACATTTAATTATCGAATCGAGGTCCAATTTGACTGTTGGATTATTCATTTTATGAATGGATTATTGAATCAACAAACGAAATCATTTTGCCATTAGTGAATTCATTACACTCTAAATCAGAAAGATCTGTTTTAGCCCTAAAAACAGGGCCGTTTCGGTGAGTAAAATACAGTCCTATTTTTGGGTCTAATTTGGCTCCCTTAAATCAGGGCCAATACAGTCCAATTAGCTAGGGCTGATTTGGTCCCAGGGCTGAAATGGGCCCTACCGTGGACTGGAATAGCCTTTTGATAGAGCTTTTTTGGCCTAAATTGTGCTCAAATGGCTCCAAGAAGGGCTGAATCAGACTTTGGCCTGCAGGGCTGAATTGACACTTTGGGGCTGAAACAGATCTTTTTAATTTACAGTGTAGTTTGTTAGCGACGGGAACGCTTGACCTGGTTTGACTGTAAGACTTAAAGCCTAATAAGAAAAGCCAACTGACGAACCTTTGCCGGACACTGCTTTTGTTTCGACATCCAGCCTTCTCAGGCTTAAAGAGCAGTGACCAACTAAAACGGTGTTTGTTTATTGACCCTATCATCATAATTTATTTACTATGGAGACTCACGTGGTGATAGCACTGACTTGATTCCAAGATCACTGGATGAAGCTCTACAATGCATGGCTGCAATAATTAATTTCTCATTTTAGAAGTTTTAGTTTTTTAAAATAAAAACAGACTGAACCAAGCAGTTGAGAGAGCTTAGTCCAATTTCCTCCGCCAAGAAAAGAATAGTTCGTAATTAAAATATAAAGCCTGATTCCTATTTGATCTTCCGAATCGTCTCTATCGCCTCAGTCGTCTCAAAAATTTTGAAGCGACCGGTTCAGGACGATAATGGGTTTCCAGTTAATTGTGAAGAGATAATTTATTGTTATTCAGTTATTTTGCTTTCGCTGATAAAAATATGAAAAGCCAATGTAGAAATCATTTATTCTTTAGTCTTAACTTCTTTAAGCCGTAAACAACCTGCTGATTTATTGAGCGTAAACTTATTTGTCAATTTATAATTGTATTTAGTCTTCAAACTGTAATCAACCTGTAAAAAGCCGTTATCCACCTGTGTAGCTTTTGAAAGTAATTAATGTTTGAAAACAAGCTTAGGTTTCCACCAATAGCCTTTTAGAAATGATTGTTGTGTTCTGTAATTTACTTCGCTAGTAGGTGACCTAATCTGTATCGCGTCATCAACTTAGAGTATTTACACCGACGTTTTGTAAGATTTTCTTTGGTCATGTTTGCGACTCTACCCGCAATATAGTCTTGGATTAAACTTCTACGTTGGACCCAAGTTCTCTTGTGATCATTGTCCCAAGGGTATTCAGCAGGCGTAAGAGATTCCGTACCTTCCCGCAGCCAGCGAGTGTCCCCAGGAAAAGGCCTTTCCCAGAGAGTTCTAGAGT